GTTACAGCCTCATTCCTGGTCTAAGCCAGACCATTGCCAGAAAGGGTTTCTAGGCAGCCACCAGGGGGACAGAGGCTAGGAAAACAGGGAACCGGTCCCCTCTGACTCTAATTCTCATGGGAGCCAACTGCTCACAGATGTGGAAATGATTACCTACTACTGTAATGTCTTACTCTGGGGAAGAGTCTGGTGGAGCTGGACTCCTGTCTCCTATTGCACCACAAACCATAGACTTCTTCCATCTTCATGCTGACGTTCCCACTGTATACCCTGTGCTCTCCCTTCACGTTTTACAGTCTCTGCAGTTTAGTAGATACAGGAGATGTGATACTAGTCCTCAGAGGAGGCTGGCCCTTTTTGCCCCCAGGAAGCATCCTGAGTTTCTCCTATGTCTGCTGACCTCTGGTGGCGATAGTTTGAACTGGACCCTCCTTGTCTAGTTAGTGCCTGCTGGCAGGTAATGAATGGTGTACATTCTCAGCCATCCAAATTCAAATATTCAAACACTGTATCAAATGGAAATATTTTTTACTGCTGAATTTTTTGTTTTCAGGCCTCATGACATAATGTAAAGAACAGAGCCTGGGCTTTGGAATCAGACTTACCTAGGTTCAGGTCCTAGCTCTGTTTCCTAACAGAGTGACCTTGGGCAAGTTACCTAAGCTTAGCTTTCTTACCTGTAAAGTGAAAATAATAATAAATAGCTCAATGGGAAAATGAGATGATTGTAAAATGCATAGCCCTAGCTGTGCCATAGCACATAGGTGCTCAATAAAAGTTTGTTACCTTCTCAATAATAGTGATTTTGTTCAGTGTATGACTCCATATGATTTTAAAATTTTTGGTAACATAAAATTTACCATTATTCCCATTTTTCAATGTGACTTTTTTAAACTCTGAGAAGTTTTATATAACTGCTTTCTGATTCTTGAGTTTGGAAACTGAGGTCAACTTTAGTATGGACTGTGAAGCCTGCCTCTGCCCAGAGAGCTACAGATCCGAGCCCTGAAAATAAGGGTTAGAGAGATCTTGGGCACAGCCAAATGGCTCAGTTGACCTCACTCTGGTTTCCAGCCTAAGAAGGACTGACAGGATCCAGCACTTTCTTCCAGGGTCAGCAAAGGGCAGAGGTCTGAAGTCAGGCATCACAGGGTTCACAGCTGGGCCTCCAAGACCCCCTCCTCCCACTTTGCAGAGAAAAGAGGAGGCGGCTGCAGAGAAGAGGATATGTGATTGCTTCTCTGCTCCTCCCTCTCCCTGCTTTTCCCTACACCCATCCTCTCCCCCACAGCAGCCATCTCCCCCGCAGCAACTGGAAAGAGGGAGGGGGGCGGAGTTGGGGACTGAGGGATCAGAAGACCCACAGCGTCCTGTATCTGAACGAGGCTCTTGCTGGGGGCAGCTGTGCTGGTTCATGCTCCCCTCTCCATGCTGCTTGCCTCCTCCAGCATGATGCTGGGGACTCTGGGCCTTTGGGTACTCCTCCCCATAGCTGTGCAAGGTAAGTGTCTACAGGGTGGGGCAGGGCCTTTCCACTCGCCCATTGAGGGAAAGCGGGACTTGAAGCAGCAGCCATCCCTTTGGAAGAATCAGTGGGGTGGGTGAGTGAGGGCAAAAGGTACAGCCATGTCTCCCTATGGTGGGGTCAGGTTCCAGGCCTCTGCTGACCCTGTTTCCTCCTGTGGCTTTACCATGCTGGCCCTGGGATATGAAACATGTTCTGTCCCTTCTTTTGGCTGCTGCTTTTGCCCCTGCGTTCACTCCCATCTTGAACCCTCCCCTCTCCCCACCCTGGGCCACAGCACCCCCAAGCAGGCGGACCTGTGTGTTCTTTGAGGCCCCTGGAGTGCGGGGAAGCACAAAGACACTGGGGAAGCTGCTAGATGCAGGACCAGGGCCCCCCAGGGTTATCCGCTGCCTCTACAGCCGCTGCTGTTTTGGGATCTGGAACCTGACCCAACACCAGGCACAGGTGGAGATGCAAGGTGAATGGCAAAGTATATAGCAGGTGATAGCTATGGTGGGAGACAGGTACATCCTGGGGTGGGGGGTTATAGCAGTGGGAGAGAAGGAGAAATGGAATGTGTGGAGGGAAAGAAAAGCCCATATGAGATGGAGGGGATGTCTTTGATAGAGGACGGGGTTACCCTCTCTGTTCCTAGACTCCATTATGCTCGCTCGCCCTCTCTCTCTCTCTCTTTCTCCCTTTCTCCCCTCTTGTAATTCCACCCCATCAGGATGCCGAGACAGTGATGAGCCAGACTGTGAGGCCTCCCACTGTGAGCTGAGCCCCCGAGCCCACCCTGGCCCCAGGTCCACTCTCTTCACCTGCTCCTGTGGCACTGACTTCTGCAATGCCAATTACAGCCATCTGCCTCCTCCAGGGAGCCCTGGGACTCCTGGCTCCCAGGGTCCCCAAGCTGTCCCAGGTAGCCCCTCAGGGTGCTGCGGCCTGGTGGGGGCTGGGGCCCAGGTTAGGATGAGAGGTAGAACCAGGGCCAGTTCTCACCCTACCCCCATCCTAAGTTTTCCTTCTCCTGGCCTTGAGAAGTTGGTTGCCCTGGTGACTGGGAGATAAGGGGCTTGTGACCAAGGTGGGGGTGGATCCAGAAGCAAGTTCTCTGAGGAGGGTGAGAGGAACAGAGCAGATTTGGGACAGGGCTCATCTAGGCTGCATTCTTGCCTTAATGTCCAGGCGAGTCCATCTGGATGGTGCTGGTGCTGCTGGGGCTATTCCTCCTCCTCCTGCTGCTGCTGGGCAGCATCATCTTGGGTACTAATCTACCCCATTCCTCCCTTGTGACCCCAAGTCACTGCCCCAAAGCTCTGACCCCTCTCCACGTTCCCCTGACCCCATGGTTCTGAGATCTCTACACCCTGAGCCCATTACCTCCCACAAAACCCCCTTCCCAGTCTCCATGACCGTGCACCCTGACACAAGGGCTTTTTTCTGCCCCAGCCCTGCTACGGCGAAAGGCCTGCAGAGTCCAAGGTGGCCCAGAGCCAGAGCCAGAGCCAGAGCCAGGCTCAGGCAGGGACTGGAGTGCTGAGCTGCCCGAGCTGCCTGAGCTGCCCGAGCTGTGTTTCTCCCAGGTGCTCGGGGAGGGGTGGGGGAGGGTCCTCTAGTCACCCCCAGAAGGTGGTCTGGGGAGGAAGCCTGGCCCTGACGCTAGCTGAGACCCACCCCCGGCACCGTGTCCCCACCAGGTAATCTGGGAAGGAGGTCACACAGTGGTGTGGGCTGGGCAGCTGCAAGGCAAGCTGGTAGCCATCAAGGCCTTCTCCCTGAGGGCCGTGGCCCAGTTCCAAGCTGAGAGAGCACTATATGAACTGCCAAGCCTACAGCACGACCACATTGTCCGCTTTATCACCGCCAGCAGAGGGGGCCCTGGGCCCTTGCCCTGTGGGCCCCTGCTGGTACTGGAGCTGCACCCAAAGGTGAGGACCGACGGACATCTCTATGTGTTTGCATGTGTGTGTATGTGGGTGCATGGCTGGATGGCAGCGGGGCCCTGCTCATGCTTATTCTTCTTCAGACTTCTTCTCCACATTAAAAATGGTTTTTTGGTTTTTTCTTGTTTTTTTATTACACAAGCAATACTTGCTAATGTTTTTAACTCATAAAATACAAAGAAGAGGAGATTTCAAAACGATCATATTCCCATCCTTAAAGAAAACCATTGTTAAAGAAATATCTCAAGGCACGGCCCTCCAAACTCCTTTATATATTCATTCAACAAATATGTATGAACTATATGTCACACCTCCTGTGCTAAGAAAGACATCTTAGTCCCTGCCTTTGTAGACTTTATTTTATTTTATTATGTTTTAAGCTGTTTAAATGTGTATTTATTTATATTGAGAGAAAGAGAGAGCATGAGCAGGGGAGGAACAGAAAGAGAGGGAGTGAGAATCCCAAGCAGCCTCTGGTACCATCAGGCCGGAACCAATGTGGGGCTCGAACTCATGAACCATGAGACCATGGCCTGAGCTGAAATCAAGAGTCAGGGGCTTAACTGACTGAGCCACCCAGGTGCCCCTGCCTTTGTAGATTTTAGAGAGTAGTGGGGGAGACAGAGTGGGTCAGGTAAACACAAAACTGAGTTTTGTCAAGCGCGTTACGTGCTGAGAGAGGGGGTACTGTGAGAGAAGAATAAGAGATGTGACTCGAGGGGAGGGTCACGGACGGGAAAGAGGAAGAGGAAGAGGCAGGCAAGGATCAGACCCGGCCTGGCCCTGTGGGCCTGCTAAGGACTTGGGACTTTATTAGCACCTGCAGTCCTCGATCTCTGACATCTTGAATTCTGGGAAGTCCCCTCTTTGTGCCTTAATGCCCAGCTCAAAAATCTCTGCTTTCTTGGTATTGTTTGTTTGTTTGACTTCCCTGGCACACTGATGGCACTTGGTAATGTTTGTTGAATGAGGGATGCTGTGACTCCTTTGCCTCCCAATTTCCACCTGCCCCCCACCTGCTGCTCTTCTGCCCAACAGCTGTCTCCATCGGCTGGCTATCCTATACAGGCCTGACACTTCAGGCCAGGAGGTTCACAAAAGGTACCAGTACCTAGTTTGCCTTGCCTCTTCTGTTTGTGTTTTTGTCTCAAGTCCCCAGGCAGTAGAAGGTGGTTACTAGTGAGCGACCCTAGAGTGAGACCGCTTGGGTTCAAGCTCTGGTCGTCTCTCACCAGGTGACTTCCAGCAAGTTTACCTAGCTCTCTTTCAAGCTCCTCATTGGTGAAACATGAATCACAGGAGCACACGCCTCCTAGGGTTGTTGTGAGGTTACGGGAGGGCTGGCACATCGTAAGAGCTCAGACATTTGAAGTAGGGTTACTGTTTTTCCAGTCAATCTGACTGATGCACATTCTCACTCCTCCACCGCCTCTTGTCTCAGCCTGGATGGATCAGTGTGTCAGTCTGCTGGGGGAGGCAGGGGGATGTCTGTCAATTGATCTCTGCTCCCTGGGGTAGATCAGCCACCTCCAGCTTATCATGTGTCTTCCTCTTCTCTCTGCTTCTCCCTAGGGCTCCCTGTGCCACTACTTGACCCAGCACACCAGTGACTGGGGAAGTTCCATGCGGATGGCGCTGTCCCTGGCGCGGGGCCTGGCATTTCTCCATGAGGAGCGCTGGCAGGATGGTGGGTGAGCTGGGAGTAGGAAGCCATGGGAATCAGGAGCCACACTGCTATGTTTCTGATTCTCCCTTAGCTAGAGATGGGAAGAACTAGGGTCAAGAGAAAGGAAGAAGATCCATACCCCTTCAACCTTGGCTTCTACCACAGGCCAATACAAACCAGGTATCGCCCACCGAGATCTGAGCAGCCAGAATGTGCTCATTCGGGAGGATGGGTCGTGTGCCATTGGAGACCTGGGCCTTGCCTTGGTGCTCCCTGGCCTCACCCAGCCTCCCACCTGGGCCCCAACTCAACCCCGAGGCCCAGCTGCCATCATGGAGGTGAGTACTCTGGATAAGGGTGAGGCCCAGAGATGATGGCAGTGTTCCTGATGAAGATGTGGCCTTTGCTGTGGCAGCAATGCGTCAGTACCTGTAGAGTTTGGGACATTGCTGAGTCTAGTTGGGGGGATGTCGCGCGTACCAGTGTTGCAGCGAGGCTTGCCAGTGAGATGATTCTTGGCCCTCCATGCCTTTCCCTCTAGGCTGGCACCCAGAGGTACATGGCACCAGAGCTCTTGGACAAGACTCTGGACCTACAAGACTGGGGCACGGCCCTCCGGCAAGCCGATGTTTACTCTCTGGCTCTGCTCCTATGGGAGATCTTGAGCCGCTGCCCAGATTTGTGGCCTGGTAAGGATGAGTGTGACAGTGCCCCCTCTCCCCTCCTCTCCATGTCTCACTTGCCCATTCTAGATCCACTTGCCTCCTGACGCAGGAAGCTCTGCCCTTCTCCCTCTCGGCCTTTCCACAAGGAGACACCCTAGGGCTAGCTGATACCTAGCCCCCTGTGCCTTTCCCCAGACAGCAGACCACCACCCTTCCAACTGGCCTATGAGGCAGAACTGGGCAGCACCCCTACCACCTGTGAGCTGTGGACCTTGGCCGTGGAGGAGAGAAGGCGCCCCTACATCCCATCCACCTGGCACTGCTTCACCACAGTAAGAGGCCACCTGCTGGTGGGCTGGGGACCTGGAGGGTGTGGGTCTGGGCTTCAAGGACTTGACTACCAGGACCAGCCCATCTGCTCCTGTCTCCTCTCATCTGCCACCACTCCTGGCTCATGTTCAGCTGGAGCTGAGCAAACTTGCCCTGTACCTCAGCTCATCCTCTTCTACCATAAGTCTCACACAGCCATTCCTGAGACAGGCACCTTCCTCTTGCTCAGACTTGCTTGGTCTGTCTCTCTTGTCTCCACCATCCGTAAGCCCTGTGTCCCAGTCCCCTCCTCCAGGAAGCCTACCTTGGCCTTGCTTCTGCCCTGAGCTCTGCTCCCAAAATGGCTCCACTCCTGGCACCCAGGAGCCCAACACTCCATCCAAAAATTCCTCGCCCAGTCCTACACATCTGGGTTTCTACCATGACCCAATAAAAGCCAGCCCTGGGTATAAAGGGTTAAAATAGTGGCCAAATGGTGAAATTGCAGGGTCTGTATAAATAGTTTCCTAACAGGAAGCCCCTTTCCCTGCTACCTGGTCTGAAATTTCCACTGCACAAGTATCTGTTGGGTTAAGCAGTGTTTGCCTAAGACCCTGGTTGCCTGAAAGGAAGGAGAGTAATTTCCCATCAGTGTGTTAAGTCATTAACCTGAATTAGCTTCTCAGAGGAAAAGGTGATCCCTCTGGAAGGCACCCAAAGAACCTGTCTCATAGGAAGCAAGATGCTGAGGGCTGGGTCTCATTTGGGGCCGGGGGAGGGAGGCTCCAGGGAGGGTCAGAAGAGGAGTGTTGAGAACAGGGTAGCGGTGGGCACCTTTCAACTCTGGGGCTGGTCAGGGGGCTACACAGGATCCCGGGATTAAACTTGCCTACTGGTCCTTCTTGCCAGGACCCTGGTGGCCTGAGAGAGCTGCTAGAGGACTGTTGGGATGCAGACCCAGAAGCACGGCTGACAGCTGAGTGTGTACAACAGCGCCTGGCTGCCCTGGCCCGTCCTCAGGAGGCCTGCCCCTTCCCAGAGAGCTGCACCCACGACTGCCCACCTCTCTGCCCAGAAGACTGCCTCTTACCTCCTCCCCACTGCCATTCCCCCTTGTAGGCCTCCACTGAATGTCTGCTGCTTCAGCATTCAGCAAGGCCCTGGTGCCAGGAGTCCTCCTGTACCATCTCTCACCTGTAAATATGCAGTTTATGTATAACCTATGTACATGCAAACATAAATATGGTGATCAGATGCCTGTCTGCTCTGCCTCACCACTGCCTTTCCTACTTGTCGAATGCTTGGATCCTTCTGTGGCCATCTAGTACACTGCAGTCCCGACGAGTGACTAGGGGTGGGTGTGCACAGGAAGGAGACGAAGTCAGCATTATCTCCATGTCCTGGGGCCTTCCTTCATGTGATCCTGGGGCTCCTCCTGTCTGTTGTCTTTTCTTTCTCTTCCCCAAGCCTTTATTTGGTGGGATCACATGGCAGAGCACTGGGGAAAAAGGGGTGGATGTGATGAAATCAAATCGCTGCTCTGAAGGTGCTCAGAGAGGCACAGCTCACTTTGTGGGGCCTGCACAGGGTCCTGGGGGTGTCCTCTCCTGAGGCTTGAGTGGGAAGACCTCACAGGGCACAGGAAGCTTGGGTTTTAAATGAGTGGTTTTCCAGGAGTGGTGAGGGCAGTAGGTGTCGTGTCATGTGGTGCAGTAAGAAACCACAAGGAACCTGGGGAGCAAAAGCGCAGGGTGTGTTGTGGAGAGAGAGGGGGGAAGTTATGTGGAGATTGTAGGCAAGGCCTTGTGAGCTCTGCTGAGAAGTTCTTCCTTCATTTCTTGCGCGCGC